CTAGAGCCCCAAATGTGCCGCTGCCACCGCTGTCGCCGCTGTCTCCTCCGCTCTGAGAGTTTGGGGAATTTTAAGCGATAATGATGGACGGACGGTACATGGAGCGGCCACCAGGGGAAAAAGCTTAACGAATGCGTGCGAATTTCTAGGAGTAAGTGTGTACCCAACGAAGGGATTAAGGCATACCTGAAAATAAGCGCAAAACCTTTGAAGTTGAAAGAATGTTGAGAATATGAGATCAGAATATGAAGGATTAACGTGGGAAATGGAAGAAGTAGAGAGATTCAAAGTAGAGAAAGGAATACGACTAAAGTAGGCAAAGGAAGGGTAAAGGTTATCCGAAGATTTGATATAATAATCAAATTTAATATCAAATATTAAATAAGTGTTTAGATTAAATCCATGTATTCACTTGATATCCTTATCTTTAGTTTAAATTAATTTAATTTAAATTTTTAAATATTTATTTTTTTAATATTTTTGTATTAGTAAATTTAAAGTTTCATATTAGTTATTTTTTTTTAAATATTTTAATGTGTTCTTAATTTGTATGTCTCATTCTCCAATCTATTAATTTTATTAATTTTTGAGTTGCATCACAGGCAACATCCTCGGGCCATTGGGTTTTCAAAAAGTACAGCAATGACCCGAGGAAGTTTGCTGTGAGAGAACTCCAGCTTAGAAAACCGCACTCGATGCATTCACAAATATTTTATTCCTTTTCCGCTAACTTCCGAGTTTCCATCACATGCAACATCCTCGAGCCGTCATATTTGAAGAGAAAAAGCATTGACGACCCGAGGAAGTTTGCTGTGATAGAACTCAATTTTTCACTCTTTATAGGGAACAAGAAAATAACAAATAAATAATCTAATTAAAAATAAAAACACACGCATTGAACTCGAATATTCGATGAACGTTTGTCGCTGTAATCGACTTCCATCACAGGCAACATCCTCGGGCCATTGGTTTTCAAGATAGTACAGCAATGACCCGAGGAAGTTTGCTGCCATAGAACTCCGTTTTCCGCATTCCGCACTTTATAGGAATGCAATAAATCTTAATTTATCGATTTTGGTCATCAATAATCACAGTAAAAATCGATTATTCCATAAAATGGCATTCCTTAACCCTTGTTTTTTTTCTTAGCGAATCTTTTCACTTATTGAAGACAAAAACCTCTTGGATTCATCTGCCATCGAAATTATTCATTAACCGTATAATGGCCCCATACCCCAAGCGCACTTGATTTGCCCCAGTTAACCCATCAAATGGTTGCATGCCCCCCATCATGATGTCAGTGAAGCGTAGCGCCGCTTGAGACTCAACAGATTGCTGGGCACATTTTGAACATCCTTCAATCTCTCTCTCTCTGCCTGCCTGCCATCGAATGTGCATCTGGAACCATTGGAGCATTCGGCAGATTAACACGTTCCTTTGGATACTACAGCGGAGGGAGGCGGAGGCTGGGTCATACTGGTGGGGTAGGGGTGGCGGGTGGGGTGGCCCGAAAGCCACAACAACTTTAATTAAGCCTTGGTCTGAGGGTGGACTCTGGCCGAGAGTTCTTCTAACTATTCGAATTGCACAAAAACAGGCAAACTTGAATGGGCCACATAGAGCGAGGCACTGAATGAACTGAGGGGTGGGTCAGTCGTCCTGTATGTCCTGTCTATCAAGTCCGTCCTAACTGCCAATTTACGTAAAAATGCTGTGGAACAGGATGCAAATTTTAGGCCAGAGTCCGTCGTCCAGGTGCTGTGCCGTATATTGCTGATTTTTCATTTATATCTGCTCAAAAAAGGGAACACCAATCCTCACCGCACCTCTCCGAGTGCCTGCTCCTGCTCCGCCTTTCTCTGAACCTCTGGGAGTGCCTGCTCCTACTACTCCTCCTTCTCCTCTGGGGACTCTGCTTCGGCGCCTCTGAAGCTCTGTATCTCTTTGGCGCAGGTGTACAGATGGACCCGTAGTTTTAAGCATAACGAATTGGATTGTCATGGCAATCGATAGATACGATGTTTGCACACACACACACACACACACACAAACACAGGGAGAGAATGGCCCCACGTCCAAGGCAGTGTCCTAATGTAGGCTAAGTGGCCGGACATGTGCATATGGAGACGTGAAGACGACAGGGTGGGATGGATGAAGGTGAAACGATAAGCGAAACTGTTACTTCGGACATCACACAGTTTCTGAACGAACACTGATTAGAGTGGGAGGAAGGGAACTGTGGAGGGAGAGTGTGAAAAGAGTTAGCTATGACACGATGTGTGGATTTAATTCTCGAAAGTGGTAGACGATTCTGGAGACTTATGGGGCTTGCCAAAGAGGGTAGCCAGGTAAATAATGAAAGCACGGAATAAGTAGTCTATTATGTACTTGATTCACGATTTGTATTATATTTTTCTGTTAATTTTTATATGATTTCCTTTTTTTGCTATTAAAATATTTATATTATTTATTATTGTTATTTTTATTTAATATTAAAAATTTGTTTTTTAATTTTTGAAGAACTTCTTTTTGCAATTTTAAATTAATTTTATGGTTTTTATGAATTTGTTTTTATATTTTAATTTTTATATTTATTTATATATATTTTCTTGTTTTTTGTTTATTTCCAGTATTTATCTAATATATTTTTAAGAAAATAAATAATGAGACTTATTCGTTTTTATTCACAATTTTTATGTTCTTTCTAGGATTTTCCGGTACAATTTTGCAAGTCAACGTTTTGGAGTTTTGATCAAAATCGTTTTAAATCAATCGTTCTATGGATTCTTTCACGACGTAAATTTCTTTCTGTAAGTTTTACTTTTTAATACATTTTAATAATATTTAAAAACATTATATTTGGATTTTTTAATACGTAAAAGCTAAAGAATATACCCTTTACTCTACCATAATATTGATAGCACCTTTAGAAACCCATCAGTTTGCTGCATTTCCTCTCAGATACGGCCGAGGCAGAGGGCATTAAAACAAAAGAATGCAAATCTCTGTCTTCCGCACAAGGCCCTTCCGTTGGTCAATATTAGATGACAGCTTTCGAAAAGCGTTCAGAAAGCGTGCGGGCTGGTCACCAAAAAAAAAGGAAAATAATAGTAAGAAAAAAGGAGACCCCCATTGCTCACACTATTCGGGAGCCCTCTTTCAACCCCACTTCCTTTTAGATCCATCCCTCCCTTTACACCAATCTCACTACTAGCAGACCCTTATCTCCATTGCTCAACCTATGGCCTCCTCAACTCCTATTGCTCTCACCATCAAGTTCTTTGCTCTATCAGAAGGCTCACTGCTCCTTTGCTCCTTCTCCTCCTCATCGCCTCTTTGCCAAATAGAATTTAAATCTGTTAAATCCTCGTACATGACAGTTTTCGGTGTGTTGAATTTTTGGTATGTCTTCCTGTTGCTGTTTGCCATTGCCTTTGCTGTTGCTGCTGCCTTTGCTGTTGCCTTTCCTGTTCCTATCTTCCTCTGCTCTCTCTCTCTCTTATTTATTTTTTACTTATGGCTCCGCACTGCCTCGTTCCATCTCATGTAATGCGGGATTTCATCTCTGGATCTCTTTTTGTATACTGTGTGTGTGTGGAGTGTGGAGAGTGTTCTTAGTGTTCTGTGTGTGTGTGTGTGTGTGTGTGTGTGGTGGATGGATGGCTGCTTGAGGTGATTTTGATTGAGTGCGATTTGTACTTTGTGTATCGCCTACGTGTTTCGGTTTTTTAAATAATATTTACCTCTCTCTCCAGTGTGTGTGTGTGGAGGGGACTTTTGTGTTGTCTTTGGTTTCTGATTGCACAAGGATAGATGAAGAAAGTGGATGAGTGGACTTTTACTTTCGTTTCGATACGTTTTGATACGATTCGATTGTAACGGATATAACATTTCGATATTGTTTGCTATGTTTTTGCCAATTTTATCTTTTAGTTGCCTGGGAGCAGCCTTTTGGCGTGTATACTGTACTTATTTACTTGGCAGGAAATTTGTTTTGTTTGAGGGATTTTCCGAGGAAATCTATTTTGGGTAACGTAGGGTGGAGGTAGACTTGCAGGCAGTCATTTTTGGGGCTTAAAATTAAAGCATAACTTTAGGTTTTAATGCCAGAATTAAGTTTAAATTGAAGTTTAATGTAGAAATCATTTTAAATGAAGACTTTACAGCTAGAAATATTTTTATTTAAGAGTTTATCCACTAAAAACACTCCAAAGTGGAGCTTAATACACCTAGAAAAATTCAAAAGTACAGAAACATCCACAAAAATATTCCCAAGTAAAAGTTTGCTCCTAGAAAACATTTTAGATTGGGGTTTTACCCATTTTACCACTCTGAAATGAAAGTCTAGCGAAGAATCTTCCAATTGTCAAAAAAAGGCCTCTAAAAACAAATTAAAAACTAAAACCAGGTCATGGATTCACAGCAAAAACCTTTCTAAAATTCACCCAAAAAACCTGTACTAAAATTAGTATCTCAAGTTCAATGAAACCACGATGAGGCGGGTTAATGTACGGCAAATTATCCGGGTCTGCAGATCTGCAGAACCTGTGTACACAGATCATAAACAAAGTAGCTGCGCCATAAACTAAACACATTAGAGCACGCGCGTGGTAGCAGAGTGGCAGAGGGGGCTGTGCATCTGTAGCTGTAGCTAGGGGCGGCTGTGTATCTGTGAGCAATCTGTAAGTACTTAATGCTAAATCGATCATGAAAGAGCGGACACCCAGAGCACACATAAAGTCGGTCAAAGAGTGAGATTTAACGAGGGCCGAGTGCCCATAAAACGAAAGGCGAAACAATGCTGCGAATTGGAAATTGATTTACGAGGCGATACGAATAAAAAAAATATACAGCTAAATAGATCAACTGTGAAATTAACACCTGACGCATGCCACAAAGAATTGAATGGGGATGGGCATGGGCATGGGATTGGGGACTTACTTTGGCAGCTATAAAAGTCACAAGAATCTGCAATTTGAGGCACAGTCAACCACTGAAGCTATCAACGGAGACAACCATGAGAGTTCTAAGCATTTGTGTAGTATTTGCAGCCTGTGTGGCTTTAAGTGCAGCCGAACCAGGCGCTGGCACGAAGACTCGCAAGGAAAGTGGTAAGAAAAGTGTCACGAAATGATTTGAGTATCCTTTTCTAAACTGTTTCCCCGCTGCCTTTAGCGCTGGAAAAGATCATGCCACGTCTGCTGTGGAACCTACGACGTGGAGAACACAGCAACCAGGAGAGCGCAAAGCAGCAGCAGCCCATCATCTACTATGTGACGCAACCTGCCTCGAATTCGGACTCTGACAGGCATCAGCATCATCAGCATCATGATCATCATGAGCATCCCCATTATCCGTATTATCCGTACTATCCACCACCACCACAGACACGCCCGCCGCAGCCACAGTATCCAGGCATGGAATATCTGGGCACTGGTAATAACGGCGGACCCACCTTCCTGATTGTCAACCCCAACAACATGCAGGGCATCTATCTGCCCAGTTCCGGCAACAGCTCCAACAGCACGGGTTCCACGCGTAGTGCCCATGTCCCCTCGATTGGTGATCTTTTGCAGGGCTTGAACTTTAATGATCTGCTAGATGGAAGTCTCTTCGAAGACGACTCTGAGGTGGTGGAGGCTGCCGAGGAAGGCAATGTGCAGGGCCCTGTGAATGCGCTTGTGAATGAGCGTCCCGGAGGCGTTCAGGCGGCTGCTGCCCAGGAGGATGATAACGATGTTGATCTACTCAGCGAAGACGAAATCGATGCCTTGGACCGTCAGAACAATCGTGGCCTGAGCCCCAAACTTCTGTTCTCCATGCTCATGCAGGATAAGCGTCGCAGGCGCATCCAGGAGGTGCTGGCCGGCATTTACTTGAGGAACACTCAACTGAATAGAAAGTGAGCCGTCGAGTGAATCGAAACAAATTGAAATATTTTTGCGAGGCAGAGAATAAACAGAGAAAAAGGAGAATAATAAAAAGAAAAAACCCTTCGCCCAAAACCAAACAGACACAAAAAGTTGCCCCTTCTTTCTCTTCATTATGGGGCCTGCACTTTATCATAGTTCCCTGGAGAAATCTAAGCTGAAACTATCATTCGGAAGGACCCTGCTCCAGCTCCTTGTCTCAGCAGTTTTCTGGCTCTTTGTTTGCCTCTGTTGCTGCAACCATTTTCCCGTGGATTGTTACGACTTTCAGGAGTTTCGGACTAGCACTAAAATAATCTGCAACTGCAGTTGAAATATTTATTTGCAATTCCCCAAACTAACGTGTGCTGCTACAATCCTCAGGACAGAGAGGAGCATAAAAAAGGGAATTGTTGCCACCGCACGACAGGTGGGACAGAGGGAAAGGTGGGGGCTATGGCTATGGCTGTGTGTGTGGCAGGCAGGCAGCAGACAGTAAAAGTTCTACACGAGAGATGAGGCAGCAAGCAGCAGCAGGCAGCAGCAGCAGCTGCAGTTATTGTTTTAAGGCGAAGCAACTTTTCCAATGAGCAAAAACCCAGGGACTATAGAACTTTACAAATGTTTGTCGAGGCACAGGACTCCTGGCAAGAGCGCTGCTGTAGCATATAATTAGTGTTGCAGGTTGCTTTTGGTATACAAAAATTGGAATGGAGAAAGTATTTCAATGAAAGCAAATGATAAATGTTACTTTACTGCTCTCCAAAAGGTGAATTTTACACACACAAATGGGTGAACCCGAACCCGAAAATAACTACCAGAATAAGTTCGCTCTGTTCATATTTTCCGTGCTAATTTTTAAGGTTTATTTCTGCGAATCAACGACAATTTTTATACCACAATTTGTGACCCCGACTCTGCAAAAAAATGTCAAATTTATTGCATTTATTTGGTATTTTGATCAGGCAGAAGACTTTATTGATGAATAATATAACTCAAACTCATCAATTTATTCAACAATCATTTAATTTTTCATATCAAAAACTGATTTATTGCTTAAATGGTGACCCCGATGCCGCATAACAACTCCAAATGGGTAGTTTTTAGTTTTTACTGTTCCTCCAAAAATATAGCTCTAATTTTTTTTCTCAATCATTTTTATCTAGATCTTTAAACATATATATATATATTTTTTTTTATTCATGAAAATTCTTTATTTGTATTTTCTGTAAGAAATTCTTTTCTTTTCTGCGACGCTTTAAAAACTCAAGTAAATCAGCTGCCTGTCCGGAAGCCTCAGCCTTGTGCCTCAGCTATGCGCACTGAAAAACGTGAACCCCAAAAATCCCTTTTGCCTTCAAACCTCAGGAGTTGGCTGCCGTTTTCATTGTTGCTACCGGGCAACAGCCTCAGACCCATCTCCATCTTTAGACCCGCCGCTGCTCCAGCCATGAAATAAGATAGAAAGCTGGAAAAGTGCAGACGAAAAAAGATGCTGCCAGGTGCTGGCGTAGCAAACTATTCGGTTCCCGTTCCAGGAGTCGTTTTTCGTTATTCGGAAGGAGTCTGCGACTCCTATGGCTGGCTCCAGGCTCCCTCCTATATATTGTTTGTTGCCAGGTTGTCTGGGTGGTTGGGGCAACTTGTTTGAAATTTGACGTGTGTGTGTAGTTTGTGCTGACCAGAAGGCGAGAGAGGAGGCAGTGGCTGCCAACACTACATAGACGCGCCAGAGGGGTGTGGGGCGGAAACCCTGGCCAAAAGGTATGCCAGGCGCCTGCACTTATTTTTGCAAATTTATATGCAAGCTGCCGTTGCAACAGCAGCAGCAGCAGCAGCTCCAAAAATGCTCGTTTCAATTTCTCTTTTCTCTGTGCTTTCTTCCTCTTTTTTTCTATACTGCTGCACGGCTTCCCCTTAACAAATTGATGAATGTCTCGGTCTCTGGTGCTGCTGGGGACTGGGGAACGGAGGGGACTATGGGTAAGGTTTTGGCACGGGACAGGACTTCTGGACAAACTTTAGTAAGATGAATGTTTGCCCAGGCAAATGACAGGCAGCCAGCAAACGAGTGGCTTCCATCTTGATTTTTGAGTCCATAATGACAGGAGGAGAGTGCCACGAGACTGTAGAAGGGAGAGCTGTGCTGGGCCTCGTAGGCCATGTAATTGGTTAGCACTAGGAGCAGCTCAAGAGCTCAAAAGGAGTGGCCAGTGGCCACACTCGAGACTGCCAGACAAAAGAACACTTTTTGCGGGTCAGAGGTGGATGCGTGAGAACTGAGAACACACACAGAAATTATGGGAGATTTGTCGTTATGGAAATAAATACAGAATTTATGCGTTGCTATTTTTTGTTCATTTAAAAGTAATTTCTTACGTCTAGACATTGATTTCAGTCTACTCACTTAATATTAATCGTATTTTAGATACTTTCAACCATCAAATGTCTATAAAAACGATGAAAATTTAGCAGAAAACACTTCATTAATCATTGAAAATTATATTAATCAGCTTGGAGTGCAATTTCTAAGCTGCAAACTCACAAAACGACTGTCTAATGGCTCCATTGAAGGTACATATGATACTCTTTGCATTCTATTAATTTTCTAAACCACTGATAGACGATATTTATAACATTAACTCCTATCTAATGCATGCTCAAGCCTTCTACGATACTCATTTGTATTCCCAGAGACCATTCCTAGGCCAAAAACACCATCAAACTTTAGCAATAGGAATATTTTATATAACATGCAGCTAGATCCACCTGTCAGTCGCTCTCAACCCCTTTGAGATCACTCCAAAGATCTGCTGCGATATTCATCGCTCACCATAAGCCCATACCTAATCCTCAGACATCCCAAAAAAAGGAAAAAAAAGAGCGACCGAAAAAAAGGCCATCAAAGGCAACGTCCAGGGTAAGCGTAGGAAGGGAGCGAGCGAGCGGAGAGCGTAGATAAGCGGCGGTGTAGAGGGGTGTACACCGGCACGGGTGCCTCTCTGCTGCACGGTCTCGGTTTGCAATTTTACAAATGGATTTGTTGTAATTTCTTTTGCCACAGCACCTGATGCTCACATAGCACGAGGAGTAGTAGTGCAAACAGAGAGGAGGGACAGGACACACACAAAAAGGAAGCGTAAAAAGAATGGGAATATGGCAGAGAGCAGAGCCAAAACAGCAAGCAAACAAAATGGAATAGAAAACAGAAAACACTAAAAATGAAGGAGGAGGAGGCACAAGCCATGAGAGCCGTGAGCTGGGTGCTGGGTGCTGGGAGCTGGAAGGGGAGCAGCCGCCACAGAGCGAACAACTTTTACACTTTACACATTTTCACATATGAAAATATTTTTTTGTGTGCAAGTTTTTATCACTAAACCTACGACTCTGCCACCATCTCTCTCTCCTCTCTCTCTCATAGGAGGGAGCCCATCTTCTCTGCTCCCCCATTGAGAGAGGAGCACAAAACATTTATGGGATTTGTGTTTGCCAGACATGTTTGCATTTTGTATATGCGATATGTTTGAAATATTCTCTACGTTCGTGTGGGCAAAGCCAAAGGATACACGAGACACAGGAATCCAGAGGATGGGACTCTTTTCCTTTTTTTACACATTTTATTTTCCATCTATTTGCTCTGAGGTAAGCGCATGGGTGTGTCCTGTGTCTGTCTGCTCTGAGGTTTGCTAAAGTTTCCATTCCACCCCCGCCCCCATATATATTATTATGGGGGAAAATGTTTGCTCACATATGTAGGCAGTAGGCAGGAAGTTAATGTGGAATATGATTAGCATTTCAGGCAGAATGTTATGCCATGAATATTCGACACAGGTAATATGGACTCCCTTTGGTGAGTGAATCACAGTGTAGAATTTGGGTGTATTTTAGAATGAATTAAGTTGGAAATTTGAACTGCTTTGGACTTCAATTTCCATTGCAGATTTAAGATAATTAATTTCTAGTGTGGAATTATGATCTTTAAAGATTTATATGAGCTATAATTATTTTTTAAATAATTAAAAATACATTTAAGGAACTTTATAGCATTGAAACACTGTCAAAACTCTTGATTAAATATGATGTACTATCTATACGATCTATCTATGATCAAATGGCCTTCCATTAGTGGCTTCATCTGCATAATTCTAACCCTTTAACTATTTTCAAATGAATTCTCTTTAAAATCCTTACCCCCTTTTTCTTTAAGCCTCCCTCTTTGACCATCCTTTTGTACCATTTAAAAACTTCTGTCTGGCCGTAAGGCCTTGGCCCCGTGATGACAAATTAGCACTTTGCGTGTCACTTTTATTGCGCTCCCTTTCAGCAGCTGCTGCAGCCAGCAACCAACCGAACCGTACCGAACCAAAAGTTCTTTATATCTACCAGAGGAATATTCATTATTAATATCCAACGACTCGACGACTCGACCCCAAGAGCCCACCATAATGACCGCAAAACACTGACTCTGACTCTGACCATTGGTCGCCGGCTGCCTGCCTGACCCTCTGGGGAGCTGTTTGTTCTTGTTTTTGTTGTTGTTGTTGTGTCGTCTGGCGGTTGGCGCTTTACAAATGACTTTTATTCACGTTAGCGGCGGCGTGCGCGTTCGTCGCCAACTTAAGTCATAATTTTCCATCATAATTTTTCTATATATATATATATAATTTTTTTTTTTGTTCTATTTATTATTTTGTTTGTTTCTTGTGTCCTGTGCTTTCATGTCCTTGTTCTGCTTGATTAGTTCTATGTATTTTTGTTGTTGTTGCTGTTTCTTGAATTCTCTTTTCTTCTTTGGATTTCTACCCTTAGGAATGTCCTTTTCATATTTAACTTGGCCCATAAGCAAATCGAGGTTATGTTGATTTTGTTTTTAGTGCCAGGGACTTTGCTTTTGTTTGCGATTTATGTTGGGATTTCTTTATTTTCCCACCCATTTGATTGATGTGCCTCGATAGATTGTTGATTTCGTGTTAAATGTTACAGTTTGTGGCTGAGTAAATGAGGGGAGTTTTATGATATATTGGGCAGAAGATCTTAAGACAATTTGTGGTGCAATTTAGTCACAAAATATATCTTTAAGATGCCATAAAAAACTCTTTCGTTTCGCCATACCCACACACGAAATAAAAACCCGAAAACTCAACAAATAAATGAACAAAAAAAATAGAAAAAAAAAACCTGTTCGCCCCACATCCGAGGCGGTAATAAAATTATATAAAAATCGCTGACGTCCCACAATAAATTCCGACTTGCAACACAGCGGCGACCGCGGCGACACCTGCAGCACACACATAGAAAAATCATAGGAAATAAGAGCAAAAAAAATAAAATAAAAGAAACAAAAAAGACAACGGAAGCAATGCATTTTCGATGGATATATTTTGAGGAGCTTTTTTTTCTGCGATTTATTTTTGTGGGTGGTTCCGTTCCGTACCGTTCCCTTCCCTTTGTAGACCGCTCCGATTACAGAGACAGGGCCGAATCCGAATGTTTAGTGCACCCTCATACCCTGAACCTATGGGCACTGTCGAAAGACCATTCCATTCCACAGAATATGGTTTCTTTTTCCTTTATTTTCTTTATTTTTTTGCGCTATTTTTACACAGCAGGTGGCGGCATGGGCCCTGTGAAGTGGCACCGAACGACAACGACATATAACGACAGAGAGCGAAAAGAACGTGACCAAGGCCTGACATATGTACAATACTACGTTGGGTACCCGCCCGTTCCCTCCCGTTTCCCCTGCCTTTCCCTCACTTGAGTCTGTCAATAAATCAGTGAACATTTGTCATGCACACGCCCGCTGCTCTGCTCTGCTCTGCTTCGCTGCTCTGCCCAAAGATCAATACTCCAGCACTCTGCCCGCAGAGTCTTTCTTTTGTCTCGTTCTTTTGGATTTTCGTTGTTTCGTTTTTACCTGTTGCGCAGGCGCCGCTTTGCAATGTTTTTTTTTTTATGAGGGTCTCCTCGCAGTTCCAGTTCTTCTCAGCGCCTAACCCAATGATTAGATTAACGAGATAACAAACACACACAAACAGCAACAACAATAAAACTGAGCAAAAATAACAGCTACAGTTAGTGAGTGAGTGACCATTGGATAGTGGTGTGATGGTTGGAAGGGGTTCGGGGGTCTTGCACTGCACTGCAGCAGACACATAAATCATTTTTGTTTATTAATATCTTTTCTCCCTGGTTTTTTTTTGTTTTGCGTCTTTCCTTTACTTTTGTTGCTGTTTTTTGCAACTTTGTTTTTGTTAGTTTTATGAAAATCGATTTACAAATTTATATGCAGGCCGCTGGCTGGCTGGTCGCTGCTCTTTGGGAATTGTTTTTGTGGTGCCTCAGATGGAGAATTTTTATTGTATTTAGTTTTGTTTTTGCAGCGTAATTGAGAGGGTAAAAAATATAGTCCAACGATTTTATAGAGAATTGATGGGTCTGTTTTTGTTTAAGTATAATCATTTCTTAGTGATATTTCAAGCCAAAAATATGAAAAATGTTTGATATTTCTTGATTAAAATTATGACCAGAAATAATGAGATGAGAAAAAAAAATTGCTAAATTAACTCTGAAGTGTAAAAAATGGAAACTTAATGAAATATAACATAACAAAAAAAATACATCATGAAGAAATAAATCTAAATAAAAAGTTTTTTTTTTGGTGCTTATCTACGCAAAAAATACACATCGTAATAAAATGTTGATATCTTCAATGAAAATTATATATATTTTTAAAATAAAATTCTAAAATAAAATCTTTACAGTCCAATATTCATAGCCCTTTGCTTGAGAGACTGAAAATATTTAATTAAAACTACCCATTCAATGGAAATCCAAACATAAGTATTTCCTTGCGTACTTTGCTCACCTGAATTTCCTTATACTTCGTACAGTTCCCAAATAGCTTGTACATTATTCTAATTTGTTTAATAAATCATTTAAAAAGCTGCTGAAATTCAGTAAACCAAACAAACTGTTTCGAACATTTCGTTAATGGCAACACAAAAATGTTAATTGAAAGCTAGAAAAAAAAAGGGCCGAAACAGACGAACTAAATTTCCAAAATAAATATTCATACAAGAGACAGGGAGAGAAACGGAGGGGAAAAGAGAAACAGCAGACAAAAGGCAAAAAGCCGGTCCGGTACGGTCCGACAAACCACTTGAAGGGAAAATCAGATAAACGAAATTTGAATTGAATTGAATTGAATTTAGTTTAGTTGGAAGATGATAATGATGATGATGATGGTCTCGAGAGTTTAGGAATGGAAATTATTATAATGCGTTACACATTGTGTAGGCAGCCGAAACGAAATCTTGTAATCGGAATCAAAATCGGAGAAATATCTCTTTTGAATAGCGTTAAATTATGCATCAATTTTTCACTGTGTGTTCCCTCTTGGAAATTTTAAAATTCCGTTTGTTATTTTTCACTAATTAACAAAACACAGAAATTTGTAGGGAGCGCCGCCGCCGCCGCCTGCCCTTTAGGGTGGATCCATCCGCGTACCCCCTGGTGTGCATTGCATATGAAAATTGTTTAATAAATTAATTACCTTCAAAGATAACATCGAAAAAGAGACAAGTAGCTAGATGTTCGCCAGTCGTAAAACTATATAATTTTGGGCTCCCTTGATTGCAGGTTCAAGGGTTTAAATTTGTTGGCAGGTTTTCACCTTTAGTTGGAGTTTATTCCCTTTTTTTTTTTGAGTTTTCAGAGGTGGTATTTTGGAATGAAAGTGGTGAATGTAATCGTTTTGAAGATTTTACCTGGAATAAAAGATATTAAATTAAATTATTATTTGGGAGATTTATTTGCATAATTTTAGAGATTTAGAGATCATATAGCATATTCGATAGAATTATTAATTATTATTTATTTGGGAATTATTATTATTGTTAATAATAATATTATAATATAATATATAAGTATAATATTATTTATGTTTTTACAAAAAAATGTCTATCATCATATATCTCTTTCTTCTTCTATATATCTAGTCTACCTTCTTCTCTCCACTATCTAAAATCTTTTCCAATATTTTTGCCCTCGCTGCATATCTTCCCAAACAAAATCTAAATCAATGAAAATGATTTGATTAGATTGTTTTCTCTGTTTCGTTTCTGGTGTGGTCATATCTTCATTATGGGATCTACTTAGTGGGGAATATTTTTATTCTTTGGGTGCGTCATAAAACTCAGCAGCAGCATTCTATTTTGTTCAGTATTTCTCTTTAGAATTCTATCTTTTTAATAGACAATCAGCCGCAAATAAACACAGACACTCGCACAGGCACTGGCACGCAGCAGAGTAGCAGTAGCAGTAGCACTTGTTCTAAATTAATCTTCATTAGGGTCACTTAGACAATAACAAAAAGCAGAGTGTGGAGGTCGTCCATCGCATCGGGGGGTACCGTACTACGTACAATATGTTGCAAGCACTAGACTCTGCCCCTACCCCCCCACCCTTCCTCGAATGAGTGGCGCAAACTTTGATTGAATTTTCATTAAATTTTTGCGCTGCGGTTGCCATAAATCAAATATTCCAGCTAGAGAGAGAATGTTGTCAACTTTTCACTTTTAATTAGTTTGGCAGTTGGGTGGAAAAAAAATATTTTTTAGGTCACGCCCCGACACACACACACACACAGAGCCGTGCCCCATCGTGTGGCATGCGGCATAAATCACAAATTCACTTGCGCAAATATTTGGAGAACATTTTTCCACCTTCACCTGTGTGGGCGTGTGTGGGTGTGTGTGTGTGTGTGATGGGCGACCGAAAGTTGCAAAAATATTCTGTCATAGCCGCTGTGTACTGTACTGTACAGTGGAGCAGGAGAGTTCTGTGGCTTTGGAGGCCTGCGGCTGGCTTTTGTATTTTTTTCTTTTATTTTTTTTTCGTAACAATTTTTGCTGCATAATTTTGGGCGCTTTGACAAGGCTGGAATTTCCTTAACAAATTTGATCAATATTTAAAGGATAAAAACTCTATGAAAATTCATTTAAATATTTAATCAAATTCTTGGTAAAAGAGTTTTAATATAAGAATAAATTCTATAAGAAATTTAAGAATTTAAACAGAGGAAAAATAACAACTGTTGCAAGTGCCTGGCTGTCTGGCGGCACAAACATGCTAAACAGACGCTCTGTGCGAAGTCCTCCTGGGCCGCGTTGCTCTTTCCTCTTCCTGTCTCACTGTCGATTTTCTACTGCAGACATGTAAATTATGTTGGTTTTTGGTCAGTTTTCAGGGGAATTTGCAAGCGGTGTCTGATGGTCAGGCAGTCAGGCAGACCGGCAGACAGAGTCCACAGACCAGTGCTTGGGAGTGGTTCTCTGCGCCACCTTTTTCGCATTTTTAGGGGGGGAGTATGGTCCCGCTCTCTCTTCTCTAGTTTAGGGGGAGTATATTCCCGCTCTCTCCTCTCTATTAGGGGAAATACTGCTGTCTCCTCTCACTCACTTTCTGTGGCTTCTCTTTGTCTCTGCTGCCTTTGCAGGGAGAATCCCTTTCTGATTTTCGTAGTCTGTTATTGTTTCTACTTTAAGCGTTTCTAATTTTTGGCATTCCTATTTCGGGTTATAAATCTATGTAACAGCCAGCAGCAGGCTCTCTCACTCTGTCTCTCTTTCCATTGTGGCTTTATCTTTAATTTTAAGTTTAATTTCATCTGAAATATAAAACCTTCCATATTTAGTGGAATTAATGCTTAAATTTTCTTTATTTGCTGAAGTTTTATTTTTGTAATTTTATCTGGAAACCAAAATGGCATACGCATCATGACACTGGCGGACTATGAGACCATCAAACACATTTTCGAAGAGCAGTTCATCAATGGCGAACCCCTGTTCAATTCCATTACCGGACCAATAGATCCCGAAATGTGGAATCTTTATGATGAATATCATCAATCGATGATAGCTGCCGGAACCAGCGTGGTGGCCATCGATGATGAGGAGAAGGATGGACGCGTTGTGGGCTTTGTGCTGGCTGAAGGACAGAGCATTGACGATGTGGAGAAGCACCGCCAAGAGGCCGAATGCATACCGGACACAGATATCATCGGTCACATAAAGCGTATAATCTCCAAAGTGGAAGTCGAGGCAAATATCTACGAGCGGTATGGAGTATCCAGACTGCTGTACTCCCATTTGACGTCTGTGGATGTATCGATGCGTGGCAAGGGATTGGGTTCGCGTCTTGCCACCAGCGCCATGGATCTGGGACGATCCAAAGGTTATCCCCTGATGACGGCTTTCTGTTCGAGTTTTTACTCGGCGAGACAGAAGGAGGCCATGGGAATGGAATGTATCTATTCGTTGAAGTTTGAGGACTACAAGGATACAGAGGGTAAAGTGGTTTTTACACCACCGGAGCCTCATAAGGAGATACGGGTAGTGGCCATAAAATTATAAGAGATCCCCGATCCCATCCAAGACTTTAATCAGTAATAAAATATTAATTTTGTACATATTTATTAACCCTTGGAACCAAACACATTATGAATAATAAGTTACTGAAAAACAAAGCTCCATATTTGTTCCACTATGACATCCTAATATACGAGTAAACATCCGATTTTTTGCTTTATTGTTAGCAGAACTTTCTGTTATGTAGTTGCTGATGACATGAATCTTCAGGTCATAAAGATAGTATGCTATTCTTATCATTATTGCCACCCCAGCAACAATTGAATTTTGTTTTTCTTCCACATTAAGTCAGTCGTGAATGGATACGCACCATAACCCTGGGACCCTGGAAGCCCATGTGTAATGTCTGAAGGAAGACCTTCAGACATGTTTTCAAAGAACAGTTCCTCAATGGCGAAGCTCTCTTCAATCTCATTACTGGACCAACTGATCCAAAAAGATGGATAAAAATTATAAATTATATAAAATTATAAAAAGTCCAATCTAAGAATTTCAATGAATTTCCAAGACTTTAATCAGTAATAAAATGAAGCTGTAAATTTTCTCGAATGTTGCGAATTTAGAAGTGAAAGATAGCGCTGAAAGCTGTCCCAGAGCTTTCCAGTCGTACGATCAGCTGATCTCCCATTGGGGTAGTCCACACATCAGTGGGTCAAATGTGGGCCCCACCAAAGTAGAGCCCCCAAAACACACACACACACACACACACAGACACAGACAGAAACTGTTACGTAATCAACGCGAAACAAAAGCAAAGTCAATGTCGCAATGGGCAGAGTGGGTATTGGGGTTGTGGGCTAGTGGGAGGGAGTACACATGTGTGTGGGTGTTTGTGTGTGTATCTTTTAGATACTTTTTCGCATGTATCGCATTGCCAGCATCGCATCGCATGTGGTTAGCGTTACGCCGCCCGCCATTGGATTGGATTACAAACACAATAAAATAACAATTAGTCTTAGTGCGAAGCAGAGAAGAAGTAGAACAACAAAACCAAAGTGAGGAAAAAAAAAGAAAAACCCCGAGAAAAGCAGCAGCAGCCAGCCAGCCAGCCAGCGTTTGCCTTGTAATAGTAGAAGATGGCAAATGGAAGATGATGGAGTGGAGAGAGGGGAACTAGGAGGAAAAGTTTTTGGGTGATGTGTGGAGTAGCGAGAATAAACGATGGTACTTTAAGAATTAAAGCCCTGGGGGAGAGCGAGAAATATGTCACACAATTATAGTTGGAGTGGGAAGTATGTTGGAAACGATTAAGGAAAACCATCCCGAAATAGGTTTAAATCCTTTAAGGTATAATATGTATAAACCAGACAAATATTAGGTATAACAATTGAAATAGGTATAATTTCAAGAATTAGGTTAACTTTATTGAATTAGGAATAATTCAAACAATAATAGAAAAAAGGTATAAATTATGGAAATAGGTATAAAGTTTATACTATAAACCATAGAAATAGGTATTAACCATAGAAATAATAATAATTTCTGAAATTAGACATAAATTATAGCATCAAGTATTATCTATAATGGATAGTAAAGGTATAAACTATAGAAATAGGTATAAAACCCTAAGTTTGAACTACAGAAATATATAAACGATGAAAATCGATGATTTGCGGGGACGGGCACGCCCCCCTCACAAATACAAAATTGAGACTTTCCTCAGTGATACTTGCTTTTTCTCACTTTTAATACGTTGTTTTATTCACCCAAAAATTGAGCTAAAAATTCTTGATACCTCTAATTTTTCTCGCCCTATAAGAAAGCTTTCTTGCTTGCGATAACATTGCCAACAATCTTGCACGTACAAAAATCACTCACAAATGTTTCATACCGTAAAATTGGTCTAACTAAGCTTTATTTCCACTCACAGTGCTCTCTAATCTATTAATTTGTGTATAAAATACATGTGTTTTCGGTGTATACATTCTTTGGTACCCTGCCATCACTCGCTTGACTCCGCTAGAGGCGTATGCCCATGACACTGCCCACCGTGTGCGGTGCTGGCGGTCGTAGCACCACTCTGCCCTGATCATCTTTGTAATCCGCATAGATCTGCGAGTGAATGCACTCCATTTGCAGGGTGGACATGAGGCGCGTGGAGTGCTGGTTGGTGCAGGTGGAGACCATTGCGGGGAAGCCCTGCTTGCGTCCCAAATCGATGAGAGCGGAGACCAGACGAGAGCCCAGGCCCTGGCGACGCACCGACGAGTCTACGCCAAGAATATACAGATACAGGGCCGTCTCCACGCCGTAGTGCTCAAAGTAGTTGGCGCTCTTTTCGATGCCGGCGAGAAATTTGTGTATGTGATGCAGCAGACAGGTGGGTTCCAGCTGCTGGGCCTCGGCGTAGTGCTGGTCCACTTCCTCGGGCTTTTGGGCGCCTGCCAAAATAACGCCAACAATGCGATTGCCGTTCGCCTCATCGATGGCCACCAGCGAGAGGCCCTGCGGGATGAGCGATAAATGTAGTTCCGATTCTTCGGGTATGACTGCCGCGGCAGCCTGATCCTCTTGTGGGGTGAGCATCAGGGGCTCCTCTTTGAAGAAATGTTGCTCGAGGAATGCCTCCACCTCCTCGAAATCCTCTAGTCGCATGCCACGTATGCTGATGATCGGTGACGACATCTTCTCAAGTGCCTTCGCGCGCACGAACTGAGAGAAATTTAACGCAATTTACTTGCTTTATATGCCGAGAATCAGAGAATGCGAGCAACAAAATTCACTCACACTCATTGCATATACTCGTATGGAGAGCGTTTTGCTCGGAGCTTTTTTTTTTGTGCGGCGAGGCGACCTTCGCCACACCACCCACCAAACCTAACGGCGTTGTTCTTATCACGAAGCTTTATTAATATATATATATATTTTGTATATTGTTTGTTTTCTTGCTTGCTTTTTGTTTGCGGTTGAATGAGGTTGAATGACCGCCCCCAGCGAACATGTGCCTGCCCCAAGAACATGAATAATACACACAAAGTGATGTTACATTTGTTACGGGTTCATTTCTATATGTTTTTGGAGAGGTTGAAATTGAACTGAAAGTATCGCAAAGTTCAGTCAATGCGGAACAAGGAAAGTGGCTACGTAATTATATCATTTCAAAGATCTCAAAAGATAGCGAAAGTTAAGTTTATGGAACCCAAATCATAACCTTTAGTGTCTATATTGTGCCCATTTAGTTGGTAGATTATTCAGAGACTTTTAGATGTTTTAGCGTTCAGATAAGTGAAGTCTTGTCTGTTTAATACGCAAAAATGTACTCAAAAATACGAGTACGTTCCTCCTAACGGATTCGGGTTTTTTTTTTGGTCAGCTACTATTAAGATCCAGTTAGCCAAAAAAATATGCATATGAACCCCATAAGAAAGTAGGGGAAAAAAGCTGCGCTGGTACTTTAATTTAATAAACATCTTTAATTAAGATTTAATATTTTCTGAAGGTTAAACGGTTATTCAAGAATCTTCTGTTGAGTCTAAGGTGTATTGGGATTGTGGAAAGATTGGATAAAGTATTTTTTGTGAAATTTTTAAATTTTATATATTGTTCTGATGATTGTATTTCGTCTGTCTACGAGTATATAGTAAAACATATATTATAAAAATTACGAAACTTTAAATTTTTGTTGAATTTTTGGTCTGCTTGGAGAAAATAGCATTTGAATAAGATTTTTTTTTTATAAATAAAAAATGTATTTAAGATAAAAAGAAAACCGAAATTTATATATTTATATTTTATATTTATATTTTGATCTAAAAGACATAATATTGGTAACCTATTAGCGTTCTATAATATTATGCTGATGATTTTATGTGTGCAAATATGTATATTAAGATCGCCGTAAACTATTAGAAGCTAACATGCTTTTTTTTATCTGATAATATTTCTATACTTTGCATAACTTCAACTCAATTCCATTCCATACATTAATTACTATTAAAACAATCCAAAAACAAAAACCAGCTGTTGTATATGTTTAACAGGTAGCTTTTGTTCCAAACATTTCTGGCTTTCGTTTGTCATTCAAATGACAAGCAAACAAATTATTTTTTAGCTGAACAGATGAACCATAATTTTGAACAGGTTTCAGATTTTAATAGAGAAAGAGAGTGAGAGAGAGAGAGAGTGGGAGAGCTTCACTTTGGGTATCGCATCGCGTGATTCGATATGCAAAATGTCAGGTTGTTGCGTTCCCAGCAGAAGCCTCTCACCCCCCTCACCTCACACACACTGCACCACCCTTGGTGGAATCCTTCAAAATAAATTATGAATCGCTTCGGTGCTTAAAATGCAAAAATGCAATGCAAAATGCAGGTCATTAGTGCAATTTAACCCCCTGTCAACCCAGCCCGCAATGCAATCATCGCTAGCCCTCGCACTCCCTCCCCCCTCTCTCTTTCCCACACTCCCTCTCCAATCATACTCGTTCACCCCCCTCTCACTCGCACTGCCTGAGGCACACTCGCACGCACTCATTAACCCTTTGTCGCCGTCTGTTGGCAGTTTTGCATCTCCCCCCTTGCCATGCCATACCCCTCTCGCGGCAACGGCGGAGGCTACTTTGTTGTCTGCTTTGTTTGTTGCTTTATCGCGTTATTTCAGCGTTTCGTTTGACCCCCCTGCCCCCTCCCAAACAATTTCTTCGCTGATTTGCAGTTGTCTTCCCACCCCCTCTTTCAGCACTCTTTTAGTCTTTACCCCCTTACCACGCCTTCGCTCTTTTTCTGCCGCTCCGCCCTGCTTTCTGTTTGAGTCTTCCCCCTTCTCTATTTTCTGTCTGCGCCCCACTCCATCTCTTCATTCTCGTATCTCATTCGTTTATGGCATTTTGTTCTCGTTTTAAACAAAATCCAATTTTTTATTTTATTCTTTTTTCTTTTTTTATGGGAATTTAATTAGATTTAAAAGCCATAAACAAAATTCATTCTCTAACTGACATTGAAGATCGGGTTTTTGTGTTGTGAAAGATTCGTTCGTTTATTTTTTACACTATTTTTAGTAGGGTATTGTTGGATTTGAGGAGGAGAATCTACGATACCGTGGGGTATATACCCGATCAGCATCAAGATCCAAAATCCATAAGAGTGCTCGTCTCTGTTTAAATTAATTAAATTAATTATTAATAATTATTATTATTAATATTATATATTATATTATATTATTAGTAATTATTTATTTAGTTCTAAGAAGCTTTATTCCTACTCATATAAATATTATATGATTTATATTATTATCTTATATTTTTCATAGAAACAATCAATCTAAAAGGGTAACTCAACCTTCGACTACCTTTTATCTATTTTCTTTCTCCCATTTTCTATTACTTTTTTCCGTGCGGTGTTCCTTTTTGTTGGTAATTGTTTTTAAATTATTGGCATTTAATTGTGTACGCATTGACGTCATTTTCAAGGTTTTAAATTGATGAAACGGAAACTCTGCGTTTTGCCCTTCCAAAAGAAAACAAATTAAAGTTTATTGAAATCGATTTTCACTAAAGAAAATGGCAGAGCGGCGGTAAAGCGGGTGGGAAAATTTGTTGCCATTTTTTGTGTCTTCCAAACGTTTCAAGTTTAATTTTCGATTTTTATTTTCGTGTTGATGACAACACACACAGACACACACGAAGATTGAGGGAGAGAGGATTGTAGTACGTGACCCGCTTAACAAATTTGTGCGTGTTTCGAGCCACCCACCCCCCACATGCCACTTAGCCCATGAAAACTCAAGCTCCCCACCCACCGCTTTAACCCAGCGCTCAACCTCCTTTATAGTTATTGCAGTTTTATCTCCAGTTTCGGACCATTTCAAAAGTCACTTTTACCGATAGATACTGCTCTCTCCTTTAATTAAAAGCAAATGCATTTAAGAGTTTGTTTCAATGTTATTTCGGGGAGTGGTTTAATAGCTGATGATGGGCATTTCCCACGCTCCACACAGCAGTTGCGCTGCCCAGTTGCGCGCGCCCCTCGCACCTCTATTGACTCTATGAATATTCAAAAGAAATACTTCGTACCTCAGTTCATAGATAGATTTTCATGCCCATTTGTTTGCAGTTGGCGCTTAAATTGTCTGTTTGAATGCTCAGGCATTTTGGTGGTAGTCAGTCACTTAATTTTCAAGGTTTTAATTAGCATCTTTTGGGGGTCTTTTCACGCTTAAGTCAACGCTTAAGACGCTTGCTGACTGCCTCTAACTAATTAAAGAGTTTTTGTGTGTGTGTGTGTTCGAAATACGACTGAATAATGGGCTTTAAGCCCTATAATAACTTCATCAGCCGAAAAGCCACCAAAGTGGCTGTCGATAAAAGGTGTAAACTTGTGGCATTATGTGACAGATTGGAGCGTGTGTTGGGGAGAGACTTTAGCGGAGTTGATTGAGGATTAGGTGGAAGTTTGGGGTTTCGAAATGGAGTTACTCTTGCAGCTATAGGGTGGGATATATGATTAGGAGTAGGCATACAACTTCTGACTTGTGGTAGGTCACAGAAAATATAATTTTCTTTTTATTTTTATAGTTTAATTTAAAATTTGTTTATAGTTTAAAGGAATAAAAAAGTTAAAGAGATTTTCTAGGCATCTACTAAATAGTTTTCCATTGATTTATTTTACATAAAAACTTGAAGATGTTTTAACTATGAAACGATATTAAAGTATTATTTATCAACTTTATAAAGCATATGTAACAATACAATTTATTGTGTCTACCTTTTTAATACAAACTTAGATTCAATTATTGGAAATTTTTAAATTTTCCTCCCAGAAACATTTTCACATATCAACATTTTCTTAGTTTAAAGCATAATCTTCATTAAATTGCCGCTCCATAAAACTCTGTGCTCTAATTTCATGGATAACCACTACAAAAAAAAGTTCTTGTAACCCCAGAAACATCTAATTTACCAAGCACTGCCACTCCTCTACTCCGTCGCCTACTTCCCACAGTTTTCATTACAATCCTCGCAACCCCTCACGAATCAGTTGCAATTTGTACTTAATTTGTGCCTTAAAAGTTTTCATTTAATCTACACCCGAACAGCCCCACACCCACACACACACACACACACACCCACACAGACACTAACCATTTGCCAAATAAAGATAAACTTTTCCGGAAAATGCCCAATAAGTGGAAAACCGAAAAAGCGTGATACTTCGCCCACAGAACTTTTTTTTTTTTTTGTATATTTATTTTCACATAATTAAATTGACATTAGACATCGTTTAACTTTTATCTAACTGCCGGTTAAAAAAAGGGAGGAAAATTTTAACTTTAATGGGGTAGCGGGGTAGGGGGATGGAAAATTAGATGGTATAATTCTTACCTGTTTTGGGTGGGGGGGATTCTGCCTTTTAGATGGTTATACTTTTGTTTAGACTGTTGCATATGGAGTGAGACTCCATCACGCCTCCTCCGCCCACACCTGTTCCTTCCACACACACACACACACACACACACACGAACACACGAACACGAAAACTGAATACGAGACGATTTACGATTGACGATTGACGATAACCGACAGGCAATGGAGACGATGGGTACGATGGACGATTGCCGTCGATGGGAATGGATGGCCAGAAAATTGCGACGCCAATTGCGCGACACGTTACTCCAGCAAAAGTTTCGCAACGACTACTGGCCCGACAATTGGAGCTGCCTCAACGAGC